GAGGTGACGGATGCTGCCATGGCGAGTGGGGACAGCTTTCACCAGCCCGAATCACATTTTGCTTTCTGTTTACCCAGGAACTTTCCCCGTGGCTCCCACAATGAGCCCGGAGTCGAATCAATACGATAGACCAAACAAGAACAAAAACCCAACAACGAACCACCCTCTGATGCCTGGAATTAATGCCCCGAATCCGCCCCCTCCACTGCCCGTTGTCCCAGCTGGGAGGGAGCTCCGGTTCCCGGGAGGGCACAGAGCTGAGGGTGCTGACCCTGCCAGAGGAGAGCACTGGGACAGAACTGCTCGGAGGAGTTGCAAAACCCACTGGGCTTCCCAGCAGAGACAGCCCAGTCCAGCCCAGTCCCAGGACCCTGCACGGCTCAGGGCTGGTGCTGCCTGGAAAACCAATGTGGGGAGCAGGAACTCTTTGTTCTTTACTCCAGCAAGCAGATGTTGCTGGGTGAGAGTCTAGAGACCCCTCAGCAGGGGACCCTGCAGGACTGGGACTGGCTTTTTAAGCAACTGTAAAACCTACACAGGATTTTTAAGCAAATTAAATCTCCAGTCCCTCATCCAGCAGGACAGGAGGCTGGAATAATGCCCCAGGGCTGGGTTTTCCAGGCAGACCTGCTCATGGGAACCATGCTGTGCCTCCAGATATAGGTGGGCAGCTCTGTATTAGTGACTCCTCCCAGGGAGGAAGGCTCAGAAGTGCACTGTGTCATCTCCCTAGTCCCTGCCTGGCAGCTGAGAGAAGAGCTGGCTTTGGGCTCCCCTTGCCTGCGACAGTGATGCCAACGGAGGAGAGGATGACTCCCTCCCCAGTTTGGCGCTGGGTCAGAGGACCCTTCGGGGCTGCTGGGGAAGGGTCAGTGGGAAGCTCCAACAATAAAGACAGGGGAAATCACGAAGGGACTGAGAACAGCTGAGGGACAGAGCGACAGAAGAAATACCAGGGGACCTAAAGCCAGCTCCAAATCCTACCTGGACCAGCAAAGCCACCAGCCTCTCAACTGAACCAGCACGGACTGGCTACAGAAAGCACGTCAGCATCAGGCGAAGCGCCGGGAGGGGCCTGATCCTGTCAGTGGCATCTCTTCCCCGGCTCCGGGCAGGGGACGAAGGGGTATCAGGGATGAAGTTCTCCTTGTGCCTTTCGTTTGCTGGGTTTGAGTGACGGGTCCTGGCTCAGTCCCCAGATCCAGCCAGGCTGCGGCAGCCGTGCCCCCCTTAGAGCCGCTTGTCTTTTACGAGTCCGTTCTTCAGGTGCATCCTGCGAAAGAGCAGAGCAGACAGTGAGCCTCGCTCTCCGCACCGACTCTCCCTCCCGTACCTTCACGAACCACTGCTGAGCTCAGACCTGTCCTGACAGGCTCACGCAGACCATTTGTCAGCCAGACCTGCTCTGTGGGATCCAGCATCTCGCCAGACTTTGTGCTCACCACATCAAGGGCAGATGCTGCTCGGAGAGAACAGCCTCAAGCAAAGGGCCGGTCCCACGCGGTGCGCAGGGGAAGGGGCGGGTGAGGATTCACGGGACAGAAAGACGGATGGACACACCGCAATATGCCTAGGCATGGAGACACAAAGTGCCTCCTGATACCTGCAGCAATGGTTTATACTCTGTGTCAAGGCATCCTGCTCTTCTGTTTTCCAGCCCAGTGGAGAACCCTTTGAGACCGGCTGCAGAGCCCTGAGAGGTCTGCCAGCACCCCCACCCAGCCCACGGGTGCTGTACCCGTGTGTCACCCCACCCCTGCCCACGCACCCTTCTTTCAGAGCACTGGGCAACTGGAGTCCAGCCTCTTTCTTCTTGGCCATTGTAGTCTTCTTGCTGTCCTCCACGTCGTACTCA